TACTGTAAAGTATGCTCAACAGATTTGGCAAGTGAAAGCTCTATCGGTTGTGACTCATGCCTTTGTTGGGGACACATGAAGTGCCTAGGCTTAAACTTAAAATCGTCCCCAAAGTCCAGGCTCTGGTTTTGTGACACATGCGAAATGCAATAAAATACCCCCCCCGCAAAAACACAAAAAGGAACCAAAAAAACAAACAAACAAAAAACAGAACAAAAAGCTAAAAAATAAAAAAGAAGAAGAGAAAGGAAAGCAAATGACTGTGGAATCTGTGTGTACTATTGCGAGCTTTCAAATATCAAGCCATATGGACGCATCTAAGGACGGGAACGGGAGGACAAGAGGCAGTCAAAATAAAAGTAAAAGGTCAGTTTTACTGTAATTGTTTATATATTATATAGGAGGTGCTTGTGAGCCTTGATGTCACGCCGATAAATAGGCTGTTAATTACCGGCACGACGCCGGAGAATAACTTTCGATCTCTTGACCGGCGCGGCGCCGGAGAATAGCTTCCAAGCAAACGACCGGCGCGACGCCGGAGAATAGCCACTTGCAAGCTACAATTACAGACTTGAAATTTGGCACAAAGGCGCTGTATAGACTGTTTTGTTATCCGATGTCAGCATTTTGCGAAACATGCATTACTTTTTAAAATATTTCTGCTTTTTTGTCCTTGTACTTGTAGGCTACTCGTTTTTTTCAGAAGTCGTCCGGTGATATATATTTTTGTTGTTTTTCGTGAGAGACAAAAATCTCTCCATCGGATTACAGATAATAGGTTTGTGTATTTGTGTGCCAAGTTTGAGGCTTAAATTCGAGTTTTTTCAGAGGAAAACGTCTGTCCCCGCAAAATAGCAAAAAATCCAAGATGGCCGCCACAGATCCCAACTTTTTAACAAAACTAAAAAAAATCCGTCGTAATTCTTCTAATTAGTCAAGAATAAGCCTGTAGGCCTACCACCTTTAAAAATTGAAAGAAAGTCAAACCCCTAGAACTTTCCTCGTAGGCCTATCATGTAGCCTACATCTCCCGTTAAATGAGATTTATTACAGTGATTACCTCCCTTTAGTCACATGGCGAGGCGTTGTTTTGTGGAAAAAAAGCGTAAAAAAACGCGGGGAATCCAAAGTTATCTGTACCCGTAGGATTATGCAATTGTGCGGCCGCGTTTTTTTTGCGTAATTCTGCACACATGCATAATTTTGGATTCCCCGCGTTTTTTCCCTTTTTTAAAAAACAAAACAATTTTATTTATTAATTAACGCCTCGCCATGTGACTAAAGGGAAATAATCACCGTAATAAGTCTTATTTAAGTGAAAAGTGGGTTATTTCCCTTGGTAGAAGATCTTGGTTATGGTTTGGGATTTTGTTCCTTGAGCATGTTCAATTTTTCAATCCATAAAAAATTGTTGTTCTCATGTCTGCTGATGCTTCATGTTTGACAGGTGTTCCTGGTTGTAGTAATGTGCCAGCATCAGAGGTCCAGATGTCCTTTTTTCCTTCTTTTTTTTTTTTTTTTACATTTTTCTTTCCCAGATCTAGACTAGATCTACAGCTGGAAGTTATAGAGATTATATTTTTTAGTGTTTTTTCTTTTTTTTTACAGATGTGTATTGTTTTCTTTCCAAATACACTACAAATTACTGATACTGATATGTTTTGTTTTAAATTTTTCCGTACTTAAAACAAAATTAAAAGTCATGAAAATTTGTGTTGAAAAAGTGCAAAACATGTCGCGAAAGGTGTTACGGTAACTTGCATAATTTGGCCATCTAAATTCGCATAAATTCTACGGGGACAGAGTTATGCAAATGTTGTAGAATTAGGCTACGCGAAAAAACGCGGCCGCACAATCCTAAGGGGACAGTTATATTTTCGCTACGTTGACAAAGGGCTCCGCCAATCCTACTAGATATAACTAAGGGTGTCCCATAAAATAAACGGAGATCTACTTATTTCACTATGTTGACCCGTGGTCCGATCCTTAGTTAAACCTAGATCTACTTATTTCACTACGCTGACTCCGGGGTTCACATCCTGAAACCTGGCATTTTGTTAGATAGACCCCGGGGTCCACCTATCCTTATAATTTTGGCAAGATAGACCCCGTGGTCCGCCTATCCACTTCCTTGATAATAACTGAAAACAATACATGCCAGTTGTCACGAATAGTGAAGAAAAATGTGGGAAAAAAAAAGATAATGAGGTAGACTATAATTTGTCAAAAAAATTGCAGGTGCAAGTGAAGATCATAAAATAATTTTGTTATTTTCTGGTAATCTTTTCACGGTTTATAAAATGTTCCAGTGGGCTTACTACTAGATCTATGTCTCTAATTACTCTGAAGAACATTTTGCTTGACTTTATTACCTTTTTTTCAAGTAGGCTACTTGAAAGTATAAAATATTATATAGGTAGGTTCAGGACAGAGATAAATGGAAGGAGCTTGTATGTGGCCTATACCCTGCCAGGGGTGAAAGGCATTGATGATGATGACGTATTTCACAACAGTGACCCCTGGGTCCACCAATCTTTAAATTTAAAGAAAACTACTTATTTCACTACGGTGACCACGGGGTCCACCTGTCCTAAAACCTAGTAGGCCTATTTCGCTAGGTAGACCCTGTGCGTGTGATCCCTCATAACCCATAAACAAATCGCAAGTGAGATGAGTGGTCACTGTTTACCCAGTCTGTAACAAAGCAACAATGGACGTCAGCGTTGCTTGTTCTCCGAGTGGTAGTACGTGTGTTTCACTTGGTCCTCCTTGTTTGACACATTTCGTTTTGTCACCCGTGCACAAAAGCAGCAACAAAAGAAAAGAAAACCCAGCGAAAAAAACAACAACAATGCAACTACCTTCATTTGGGACCTCAGAAAGAAGGGTTTCTTTTCTCAGAAAGGAATGGTTTGCTTTCTTCATCTTGATCAATCCTGCCGAAAGCGGAGCACAAAGAGAACGCTTGCTCGCGATAAAGCGAGCGCTTGTGAAGAAAGCGCGGCGTTGAGTTGTACACAGAGAAAGATTGCAAATCGCGCTTACAACTGGTCAGAACTTGGGCATTTGACGCCAAGGCGGACTCGAGTGAAGACGAACCGTTGTTGCTAGACAGTGTTTAGCCAAAAATTATCCTAGGAAAACGCAAAAGAATGGGGGTTCATGAGATAAATAAAAGGAGGCGAGTGGAAGGTGAATATCACCACTTGTTTCCTTTACTTAAAAGAAGCTCTTCTCGTTTTCAGTCCTACCTGAGAATGAGCCAAGAGACAAAGTATATCTCATCTGCGCGGTCTTTCCTTCTCTTGTCCAAAATTGCAGGTTTTTTAAACACGGCTGAAACCAAAGACTTGACATCCATTTCGGTGTTTTTGTCACTGAGACAGAGAAAATACATTCTGAACCACCCAAGTTGAGACAAGACAGCTAGACAACAATGGGGGGGCGGTACCTAGTACACGTTTGCAAAGCGAGAAAGAATTAACTTTTGATTCTTTACGCTTTCCAAGCGTCGCTTGAAATCTCAGGCGCCTTAAAGTAAAGCGAGCGTGCTTTTTGTGCGCAACAAGCAATTTTAGAGTAATTTTTTCACACGCTTGTCCCAACGCGCTCGCTTTAATCGCGAGCAAGCGCTCTTTGTGCTCCGCTTGAGACGGCCATTTTTCTCCTTGACAACGGGTGGCCGTCTTACACATGTTCAACTGTATATTATATTAAAATTTTGCATCCAAGTTCAGTTTTTTGTCCTCTGGTGTTGTATTCAGCCCTCCCCCCTCCCTGAGCGTATCTTTTACAAAAAATATAAGTAATTTAATCTCCCACATTCCGGTCTGTAGATACTATTTCGCAGTAACCAGACCGGTCACAATGGCGAGCCTGACAAGACGTATAGTAGGCCTACTACTTTTTAGTACAGTGGAATCCTTTTATAATGAGAGGGAGGGGGCTGGTTCGAAACGTCCCGTTATAAGGGATCCAATACTAAAGTCAATGGAAATAATAGAGTAGGCATAACCTACGAGTTTGATGTTCTGTTTAGCTCTTTTTGTTATCTCCCCTGATGATGATTTTGTAACAACATGTTTGTATGACCTACCATACTTGATCAAAAATCGAATCAGGTGTCTTTCTCTGGTGTTAGTGATGTTGACAGCCTGCATTGGCGATCAGAAAGAAAGGGCTCTAGGCTAACTCGCCCGCTGTGTTGGCCCCCACCCCACCCTGTGGTGCATTCTGTTTGCTTGCGCACGTCACACATTTGCTCCATTCATCACAGCTCTATGACCTCTCCTTCCCTGCATCGGAGAAGTGAGAGGCATGGTAGGCCTAAATAATCTAGACTAGGCTGGCCTATCACGCGATACGTTCTGCTTGTCTGCTCATGCGAAATCCTCCCTACCCATTCGATCCAACCTTCACTGTTGGCACATGCATGCGGGCTCTCCCATTCATCGTTTTGCTAGTTCACCAGTTTCTCAACTTGCGAGGTTTTAAATTATGTATAATTGGCCTATAAGCTGGGCACAGCAGCAGCAATATTCCGCTATAACCGACTTGCATGTTGCATTTTTTAACGGAGGAAGTTGATAATAAATGGAGGAAAAAATACGGAAGAGTGGAAGCACTGTCCACTGTAGTAGGAATAAAATTGTGACTGTTTCATCTGCATCTCTGCTGATATTCCACACACTAGGTACGCTTACATGGTTCGTTAAAGGGGAAAAAAAGAAGAAAAAAAGCCCCAAGCCACATAACTAGGTGCCGACTGTCCTGTAATGTGAAAGCAACTTCATTGAGGTGGAGAATATAATAATAAATAAATAGCATTTGTATAGCGCATATTATTATCCCCGCTCAACAGGCTCTATGCGCTTAATAAAAGTTTCCAATTCCAACACACAAAATTGGAGATGGAGCTTGAATTTATGCACCATTCTTTACAGTTTCTATTGCAAAAAACAAGCAAAACAAGAATTTGAAGATATGACAAAAGATCAAAATCATTTTTAAGAACATTTTATTGGCAACCCCTTACATCTTGTTGAAACCTTTTCTGTTTCCAGATGACTTTGTCACCTTGAGGACATTGTACTTCACAGTCTTAGACAGGGGCCTGCATTCTCCAACAGTCACAATGTCACCAATTGCTACATCCCTGCAAAGAAAAGAACATGCTTTCACTTATTCACACAAAAAATCGTAACTTTATACTACAGAGAAGAAAGATAATCAGGACCTCTTCAACTTGAAACAAGACATAGTGCACCCCACTACTCTACTCATTGTACAGTCCAGCACATCTCAAACACTGAAATACAATTCATGGGTACCTTAAATAATAGGCCATTCCTTAACTGAACCACTACATTTTCTAAGCAGTGGGATCCTTAACACCAACACTAATGTGTGGAACAGCTTATCTCCAAAAGTTCGATTAAAATTTCCCCTCACGTGTGGCTTGGAATTCAAATTGCCCGGGCATACAATTGAAAACAAACACACCCAACATTATTGAGAACATCAGCATATCGGAGCCAACAAAGCTCATCCCTGCTAGTAATTTCTGACCAATATAAAACCAGTTACTTCCCATTGATTTTCACCCATAGTGGTGTCAAATTACTCCTTGTGTGATCAGTGTTTCCACCACCTGAAGATGAAAAGGAAAATTCTGCCGGAATATGCACCCCCCATCAGTGCCCAGGGACAGAGTAACGGTCAGGGTCCAGGGGGCAAAGCTCCCGAAGAAATAATTTAATGCTTTTAGAGGGTTGAAAATGGCATTTGGGAGCGTGTTTGATTTCTTCAAACACAACCCATAACATTTATTTTTTCACCATTTTGTCTTGTTTGATTTCTTCACCTACATATTTTCCATTGCTGGCAATTTTTAAAAGCAGGTTCCCCTTCCATTGCTACTATAATTCAATTAATTTGTCATCGCACCATTGATAGAAGGCAAACCAGGGAATAACGAATAGACATGTACCTCCGCAATACAGTGACCTGATGTATACCCTAATTTTCTTCAATTTTCACGTCTGAATGTCATATGTCACAACCTTGGAACACCACTTCAAATTATTCTTCATTTTAGTAGTATTTAGCATAAATTTCTTTCATCGCGTTCCTGTGTAGTATAATCTTCGCATTGATAATTATTTCTCTAGATAAATTTTGAAAAAAGTTACTATCCGACAGTAATTTTCTGTCTAAGATCACAAGTCAATTTACTTGATCAAAGCACAGATTTTCCAGCAGCGGCAGCAATCCAAAGATAGCCTGCAATGAATGCATGAAGCCGGAATAATAGCCGATTGCAGGAAATGCGCAATCTGGCAGGTTTCTATAACATTAACTTATTGCCGAGAAAATAGCTGTAAATATCTGTAACATACAAGATGACACGAATGCGAGTAAGGATCTTCTGCTAGGGTATTTCGGCAGTCCTACGCTGTCAGTTGTTTACGGAGAGAGTTAATGATGGAGGATCAAGCATGGAACTGGCAAAAAGTATGGATCTCCGTAAAAATACAGAAGAGTGGAAGCACTGTGTGATACAATAAGCAGCCAGGGACACAGAAGGCTACCTCACACTTTTTGTAATGACATGCATCCGATTTTCTCTTGAACCACTGCTATCCCGATAAAATGTGTTTCACAAGTTGTGAACATTCATAATATTCTAGGGTGACTGTCACCACGGCTTCTTAGTTTTCCAGGAGGGGTGTGTGTGTGTGTGTTCCATCCAGTACCCAGGGGCATGTTACATAACAACAACGCGAGCGCTATTTATGTGTGTATTATATATGTGTGCGCAAGCGCACACACACATATGTAGGTACATATATCCAGTCGACAACATGCCAGTGTTGCACTGTAGCTTAGTGCGAATTATGTATTTCAGTCTGTTATTACTAATTCATAAAATCCCCTGCATATATAAACTACAGTCGAACCTGTATAAGACGGAATCGCAAGGGAGTCAGAAAAAAATTAGGTCTTAGACAGGGGAATTTAGGGGGTGGTTTCTAAGGCCCAGCCGGTGGGATCAAGGATAGCTTGTCCGATCAGCAAGCAGAGGGCAAAAACTTCATACCTCTCAATTGCTATCCTGTCTGATAATGACATGCGCCAGTAATACTTATCCAATTACCACCAGTGCTTGCCTTTCATAGGACCTATTACAAACAGAAACGTTTGAATCTCCCTTGCTTCCACTCTTAGCCCCACCCCTTACTGCCATCATTGTACCAACAATTAAAGGAACTTTTCTCTGCCGGCCGTACGATCAGGGCGGCAGGCATTGGTCAATCTAACTTCACACCTCTGGTTTCTGGACCCAGGAAAGTTTCCGTAGTGGCTTCCTACTCAAGCACTCTCACGGGCAGTCGTGAGATTTCACACCCACACTACACTGACCATCTGCATCGCTCAGGGCTCACATGATGGGGTAACATCTACCCCCAAATTGCACCCCTACTCCCCTTCCTCGTCCAGCCGCATGACCATAGCGTTAGCCAGCAGAAACAAATTTGCGAGTTTTGTTTCAAATCAGGGCTGAGCGGGCAAAGCATTTTCCGTCTTAGACAGGTGAAATCCCCGGAAGGGAGCGGATTTTCCTTTTCGTTTCCGTGTTGGACAGGTTTCCGTTTTATACAGGTAATTAAAGAGGAATATATCAAGGGGGGAAGCGGGGAGATTCCGTTACACGGCGTCACTTTTCGCCCGATTCTGTTACTTTTAGTTCGCGTGACTCAGCAGCACGCCGGAGCTCCCCGGCCCGGGGTCACGGGGTTAATGAGCCCTGAAGCGACTTTGCAGCTGTCGGTCGGGAAGTTCGCATTTTTGACTATGTTTAAAACGATGTAACTTCTTCCCCATCCCACATAGCAAACCATTTGCGGATGTACTAAAAGCTCAATGTCTTGAGATTTATTCTGCGTTAGAATGGTTAGTTTCTGTGCCTTAGTTTTTGCTCTAGACAAGTGTTTGTAGAGTACCCGATTTGTCCTATTTTAGTTACAAACTTATGAATAAATGATTGTTAATTTAAAAAAGGCACGACCCATGAGAAATCTTAAATCTGCGCTAGTAGTAATAGTCAAGTTACATGAGAAGAAAGATGCACATCTGCATTTTTTAACTAAAGACGATCAGCGTTAGCTCTTATTTTACTAATAAACAAGAGAAAGTTACTCTGCGTTTGTTCATGAATCATGCTGTGTCTGTGGCAGCCTGCATATAACTAAAAAGATATAATATAAGCGATTAAAAAAACCACAAAACCGTGTAAATATATGGGTAGAGATAAACTTCTTGTATGGAATAAAAATAATGACAACTGAAACATTCATTCTTAGTTTTTGTGTAGGAAATATGCGCGGACACAATTATGAATGTAAAGAAATCAGTCACATTGTCAGTTATTGCAAATGGTCATAGAAACGAAAAAAAGCTGGAAAAGTCTGGTGCTGATTCAGTGTCCCTGGAAAGCTAGAAATTATTCTTATAACCCAATTACGAGAAGTCATCCCTATTATTCAGTCAACTTACAAAACCTAGACTTAGCGTTTTAAGGAAAGTAAGGAATTTCTGGAGTGTAACAGATACTGTTCGTGTATTAGATCTACGTTGAAGATGTATTCTAGCACTAAAATCGATTTGTACTTTTCATAGAGAAACTTCATGGTAACTTTTATAAACCTTAGAGAAAATATGCGAATATTCACGATTATATTAGACACATAAAGTTGTATTTGGAGGAATAACTTCATAGCGAATTGTGTGCCCGATGGATAAAATTGTAAAATTACAGCCTTCTGTTATAAACGCAGATACCATCTTTTTTAAGTATCTGCACCAATGTTATGTTGTTCATGTTCCAAAAGTTCGACAAATTTTGACGATGCATTTTTTTTTATCATTCACGCTAGTCCCAAAAAATTACAATTTAGCATTGCCGACTCCAGCGCGTCTAACGAAATAACCAGACAAGTTACTACGTCCGTTCTTTTTTGAGTCTCAAGAGCAGAAATGCATGCTTTGGATGCACTAAATGAGAATTACCATAAATACAAGGTTACACCTTAAATTGTACGTTGAAAATTGCCAAAAATTAGGTCGGCCCAGACAGAGCGGCGACAGGGAGCTGACCCCCGTGACCCCGGCGTGATAAGGCGCCCGGCGGGGAACCCCCCGCAGCAACTAAAATTCCACTGCCGGTGCGCCGTGGTTAAGACAGGTTTGACTGTATATATAAAAACGAATCTTGTTTTGAGCCTGAGAAAAGGCCTAGAACCAGAATATCGATTGCCATGAACCGGTCTGGGTGCCATGATTCATATATATATAATAAGCGTGAAAGAAAAATTATTGCTCAAACTCAAAGTAGAGTACAGTAAAACATGACTATAGCGGCACCTTACCGGAAACCCTGTTTTAAAAAAATGCAAACTCGAATTACCTGTGCTCAGATTTTGCAGGATAAGGAAAGGCTGAACTCAGATACAGCGGGAGAGATTGAGCAAGATTTAGCTTTGGGGTGTGTGTCTGCTGGGGGACTGAAGGCGGGCTCCAAACAGGCAGCCAGCGGAAATAGCGGGCCACAAGAGTGTGACAAACATAGAAAAGAAGTAGAGAAAAATGTCAAGGATTAAGAAAGAAAAAGCAGCAGTTCCCTGTTGTAGTACAGGCACAGATATGAGCACAACAGTGCAGGATCAGCCTATTTACAATACTACTGTGCATACGAACGAGAAATATTCCCACTTTGGGAATGGCCTAAAGACACTTCTGTGTTACAGAATCTGCACTGTATCCGTGCTAGCTGGGTGGAAAGAGTTAAACATGTTTAATACACGAACCTGAAACAAGGGGACAGGTGGACACTGAGGTTCTTGTGTTTCTTCTCAAATCTGCAGTACTTCTTCACGTAATGAAGGTACTCCCTACGGATGACAATTGTGCGCATCATTTTCATTTTCAGCACACGGCCTGTCAAGATACGTCCACGGATGCTCACATTTCCTGTAAATAACAAAAAACAAGAGGAATAAGAGATTACCCAAAAACACATGTGTCAAGTGCCTATCTACTGCCAATTGGTTTTGGAATAAAATTTAAAAAATAAGGCAAACACTATGGCAAAGCTCTCAAAAGCAAGCACTTGCACTAAAGAACTACTCTATCTGGCCCAATCAGCACACTTGGGGTCCAGTATATTTTTCTTGTTTCGCTATCTTGAAGCATGTATAATTTAATTATTTGTATTACTAGAGGACTGCAAGCGAAGATTTAGAACACATAACCATAACATCATTATAAATTTCAGCAAAACAATATTTGGCCAGTAAAATAAATCGACGGACAACTGCCAGATCTTGACTCGCCAAGACACCTCCCAAAACCCGAGCCACAGAGAATACAAGGCTAGGTTGATTTTGTTGAGCGTGAGATTCAAAACACAACGATGTACCCAGGAGAAGACAAAAAAAGCACTTGAAATGTGGGACCAAAAAAAAAAAAAAAAAAAGTAATCGGAATTGAATATCTATAAAAGCAGATGAATGGTATTCAACTGAAATTTCAGTAATCATAACTCATAACTGCCAACTTATAAAAGTAATCAGGAACAGTAAGCAGTAAAAAATGAAATTCTGCTGTTGTTCCATGCAGATTCTCACAGAAAAGGATCAAACATGCACAAGGGCATGGATGTAAAAGTGCAAAGCTGCCTACCCATGAAAGCCCAATGCCAATTTTCAGTACTTTTTCGTGCGACCAAATGATCTGACATATATAATACCATGCAGCACCAAGCTACCAAAATAAACTTAATATGCACAACAGTGATAAGAGTTCTATGACTGGATAAAAGAATCAGGAAGAAAAAAAATAGGTAAAACTAGGACTCACCTACAGAATATATACAACTGGAATAACGTATAATATTAACTCCTGTAACTCATATTTCACACAAGCTCATCAACAATTTCTTTACTCCCAATTCGGCCTTCCACACCCGAAAGCGATTCATTTACCCAGTCATTCGGACTTTTCAAAAAGAAAACTATGCATCCGTTTTATAAGTTCTGGACCTGAGGAAAGGCCAGAGCATCAACTACCAAAACCACGTTAAAGCTTCAGAATTCATAGATATTAAAAAGCATGCAAGACAAAAGTTATAAAAAAACCCATGCAAGACAAAAGTTATAAAAAAAACTTTAGTTAGGCTCACGACACAGCAAAAAGTGTTAGCGGGAAGAGAACATGTACTGGCAGCCGGAGCTGGGAAGTCCATGAGAGCTTTAGGGGTTGCAGTGATGTTGAAGAACTAGCAATAACTGCATCCATATGAGAAGTCATGGACCCACTATTAATCGGTCAGGTCTAAGGGGGCTCTCATAGCCTAGAGGTTAAAGCGTTCACCTTTCGTCCAAAAAGGTCCCCAAGTATGATCAAATTCCATATCCCCAACTTTGAGAACAACTTTGCAGAGCTTCCAGCAGCTGATGTAATTTTTCGAGGATTTTTGGGTCCAGGGCGTTTGAGAATTTTTGGTTTCAGAGCATCCTAAGTATGCCATTTCTGGCTATTCAAGCCTAAATTTAACAGAAAATAAGTGAGAAATAAAACACACTTTGCATAGGTCTTCATAATTTTCTGCTTGTGTTAATCTATATATTTCCAAATCCAAAGCCATGCTTTCTCCCTTGTACCGATACTGTAATCCACAACTAGATCTATAAAACTTGACAGTTAATGTTCAACCTTTTTCTGCTAGTGTTGGTTTGCACCATAATCATCATAAGGTGTAGAATCCTTATAATAATATTATAACAGCTTGACTTGATCTAGATCTAATATCTCCAGATTCTAGTCTAGATCTAAATAACTTGACAGCTTATTCAACTTAAATCTACAACAAAACTTACAAATAAACAAGTCTGGTAAAAAAATAATAATCAAGCTCTCTTTTGAGTTTTCTTTTCTTGGCAGGCCCAAGATCTATTGAATCACAATCTTCATTTCTTCCTCTTGTTTACATAGCTGGTGCTCTGCTTCTTGAGCTTTAGAAAGTGAAAGACACTGTCTACACTTTCAAATAAAAGAGCACTTCCGGTATGGGTTGGTTATTGTTGACTATTGGTAATAACGTAAATTTTTTATTTCGCATCCGGAAAAAAATTTTTGGCACGAATTTTCACGGAAATTTTTCCATTTGCGGAATTCTGCTAATTTGCGGAAGACTGGAAGCCCTGACTTTGGATACTTTCCAAGTAGAGTATAAAAAAACCCAGCTGCAAGCACCTATTCATTTGTGACATTTTGCAAGTTACAGAATTTTAAAAAGTTAAAAACTAGAAATGGAGAAGAAAAAATTTCTATCCAATCCTCAAGATGGCCACCGTTTCCACGGCAACAGCTTACATAATCGAGTGTGTCAACAGTTGACCATGAATCTTTTTTCCTCATACTTACTGTTTGTGACAAAAGTTGCTTCAGTTTTGTCTTTAATTAAAAATATTGTCCCATAAGTATCGAGCCCCCTTAAACACCGAACAAGGATAAAAACAAACACAGATGAATCTGCTCCAACATCCACCTGTGCCCCCCACCCCTCCCCCGACGTTGCCTGCAGAAGACCCCCCCCCCCAACAATGGGTAGTTGCCTTGGACAGGTTTGACTAATTTAATTACAAGGTACTGCTCACCTGTGAATGGGCATTTCTTGTCAATGTATTGTCCATCGATTGCCTGCAGAAGAAAATTTAAGTTACAATACATGCACAAAAAATAGAAGGCTCATTACTAATAGTATCCAAAACTCTACTTATAAATTAAGTAAAGAGAAGCACACACACATGTACATTATAAATACTTTAATGAATTAATGCCATGGGGCCGGCTCCTGACCCCGCACGAGATAGAGAAGCCCTTAAGTATCCCTTTGCCACTTTTGGGTCCACAATGACACTAATGTTTGACTATTTTTTTTCAGAGCCTGGTATTGGCACCCTGTAATCAACCTGTATATATAAATGAGAATCATAACAATAAAAGACAGAATTGAATGGGAAAAAACCGACAAGGCCTCACCAGAACGAAACTAAACACACAAGAACTTTGATCTTGTTTTTCGTAAAGTTTTACAGCGCCGTCATAAGAGCGTCAAGGGGTGGATGTCAACAGAGAAGGACAAACGGGAAATCAGGCTTACTCTGCTCACAAAGTCTGCTTCGAGGCAGTTTACATGGGTGACAAACATACAAAAAGAAGTAGAGGTATAATGACGATATAGACCTGCAGGTGAGCTTCAACCAGATTGTCTGAAAATTTTGCGCACCCCAAATAATAAGAGCTTTTATATTGTGGGTGTCATAATAAAAGTAAGGACTTCCGAGTAACGAGCGACCACCCGAACAAACACAATATAGAAGAGACCTAACCCTAACCCAAAAAAGAACCTGCAACGACCCTCATGTAAAAAGGCCAGCATAAGTTAAAAAAATAAAAAATAAATAAAAACTCCAAAACAAACAAGAAGCATAATAATATGGCTTGCATTGCTATAAAGAGTTTGATACAATAATACAATAGAATTAGAATATGAATCCTCCATATAGATATAGATCTAGTGGTCTAAATATACCTAGATCTAGTAGAACAAGCGAATAGGAATTGGCCTTGAATGAGAAATCCGCATCCGATTCCGAACAGAGGGACTCAGCTGAGTCTACATCTAGATTAGATCTTTATTTTAAGTAAATAATTCACGCACCTGATGAAATGCGTTATACCAACAATATTACAGCACAACCTAAAATAGGGTTTGACACAATAGAATTGGAATATGAATCCCTCATTGAGGTCTATAATGATCTATAAATCTAGATCTAGAGTGGAACAAGTGAGTTGGACTTGAAAGAATCCACATGATCTGAACAATCAGTAAACAAACGAAATTCAAAATGGCCACTCGAGCACGAAACTGAAAGTACATGTAGATAATTTAGGTCGTCGTACTTTTTCGTATTCGTATTTCTACTCTTGTTCCGACAATTATGCCGGAAACGCAGACGCCGACACAAAAATGAAAGTGCCTACAAAGCCGACGGGAGAAAAGGGGGGATGCTGGCAGTCGGCCAGGCCCCGTACTTCGCACATTGACTAATACAGGTGGGTCTAGCGACAGCATCGGCCGGCTCGCGATTGTCGGCAAACATGCAGGTCTAACGGTAGTAAGGATGAGGAAAGAAAAAGTGGCAGTCAGTTACCCCTTGTTGTTCTGGCAGAGTATGAGCATGACATTGATAAATCAGCTCATGTTAATATACCCCCCCTAGGGAATGGTCTAAACACACTTCAGCCAGTACCACTGCCCTGGAGATCTAGCCATGGAGCCAGTTGGACAGGACGATGAAAATGATACTATAAAACTATCTGAGTTAAAACTGTCACCACATAACTAACAGTTTATTTCACATTTCCATCATGCTTGGAAGCTTTTGTTGGGGCAGAGGGAAGTACATGTGCAATAATTAAAGAAGAAGACGCCAGCAGTTAACATCCAAATAAGGAGCGTTAACTTGCCAGTAAATTACCTCACGAGGAGTCTTGAATCCCAAACCAACATTTCGCACATAGCGAAGATTTTTCTTGGACTTTCCTTGAAGAATGGCTTTCTTGTTTAGGAATACAGTTGGCTGCTTTTGAAAAGCACGCTCAGTCTGAGGAAAAACAAAAAGACGTTACGAATTTTTTTTATCAACATACAAATATGTTAAATACGAATTTCAGAAGCCCACCTCATTTGTTTTTTGTTATTTGAGAAGCATTTTCACTTCTTATGATGTCTCACCATCTACCACACCACCTAGACATTACTTCGCAGAATGAAAGCAATCTTTTTAGTAGTGTGTAATTTCTGCGGAAGAGGAAAGGCACTTCACTATTGCCACCGGCGTAGCCTATAAAAAGTTGTCATTGTTGGCGCCCAAATACTCGTTCCTTGCCCCCTCTCTCTCACCATGACTTCTTTGGTATACAAACATTTGTGGTTGTGTTTAGCAGGGCCACTGCTAACCCAGCCTCTCGATATTCAGAGAGGGGCATCCATTTTCCAGGGTCATATTACAAATGTTTGTGTGTGAATGTTAAATAAATCAAGACATGTCAGTGTGGCGCTGGGGCTTCGTGCAACTTAGGTTTATTATGAGCTATAAAAAAATGATTCCCGCTTTGATCCACTGAAAGAGCCTTGAGCCAGAAAATCGACCCTCAAGAACCAGTCTAGATGTCAAGATTCATATCGTAAATATGAAAAACAAAAATAATTGCTGTAACTGTGACTCAAAGCAGAGTAATAACTGAACTGGCTGAAGTAGGTAGACCCATTTCATGTGAAAGCTGTAAGAGCCGAGGGAGTGCAAGATGCAGTAACACTGAAACAATCTGTCAATAGCTAAAACATAGGTAAGTACCGCAAACTGGTCGTGCGCCCCAGTCACAGAGACCAAAACCCATATCTTTACCCTCTTAAAACACTGTGTGATCAGGCATACACAGACATTTATATCAGAAGAAAGCGGAGCGTTTTCTCTTTTTAGTGGTATTATTTATTTGAATAAAAACCATTCTTTTGAAAGCAAAATCTTGCGGGATAAAAGATAAAGAGAACACTATCGAGGTCTTCACTGCAGCGAGCATCAATTTTTGGCACGACTTCGGTTGAAAAGAAACGGGGAGCGCATGGTTAATTAATTAAATACTGCAATCTGATTCGTTGGTATTTAAAAGATAAGAAAACGCTCTTTCCGGAGATATATTTTAAAAGACGGTCCCTAAAGAATTAATAGAAGATATTTGCGTGTGAAAACTTTCGATGCTGTTTTTTAAAATGGAACCTGTGATCGGACTGACTATGGAAAAATATAGGCAGAAAGCACATTCATTCCTCTCTAATATAACAGAGCCATAATACGAAAATAAATACTGGACACTCCCCATCAGCTCGCAAGTAGGACCACCATCGGCCCAGTATCGTATAAATTCTTTTTCCTTCCCGTCGGCGCGGCTACGCGCGCAGCGAATGGCGATTTTCAACCCCCACTTGTATTTCTTGCCATTTTGGTCAAAAGGCCATATTTACATCAATAAATTTCCATCTTCTGATTATATGATACCCATGAAAAAAAACCTAGGCTTGTTCTCTATGTGCACGTGTGTGTTTACAAGTTTTTGTGAATGTCTATTCAAATTTAAGAATGTTATGACATTTCGCAATTTAAAAAATTATAGCATTTTTCTGCATTTTCAGATGCTCACAATTTTGTTAAAAATGAAGCTATGTGTACAAATTTGGTATCAAAATGTTCAGAATAATAAATTCTATAAGGTGGTGCAATTAACTTTGAAATTTCAGTCTGTGGTACCTAATAATACAGGTCTATCACCCATTGAATGAAACACACTTTTGTTCAATAACAAGGTTTACAATAAGGCATGACGGATCCCGCTCCCACACAACCCTCGCAACAAAGTGCGCTTTGGCTTAGTAGAGAGCTCTAATCACAATTCTACAATTTTCTCAAGAGTTTTTATTCTTAGTTTTCAGGGTGGTTGATTTATAAAATAAAAATAGAAAAAATCGATTTTAAAAATTTAAAACAGAATTTTTTGATTTGAATCGGATTTTTTAAAAATGTCGACACAGTTTGGGATTTTCGGTGGCGAAAAGTAGGTGACCCCAGCACGGCAATTTCTCACCTACTACTTTTGTTTTTGTAAATTTAAAACTGCAGTGATGTCCCTTGCGCTGTTTCGTTTCTTTCTTTCCTGATCTATTGCGAACACGTGGCAAGTTCAAACCTGGAAGTCGAATTTTGTCGTTGTACCAATTTTGACTTCGCTTTTTTAGTTTTCAGGTGCGTTTACATTTTTTAAATCACATATCAAAAGGGTGTTTTCTTAACGATGTCTATTGTTATTTATTTGGTGGATAAATGGCTACAAATGATTTTGCAACATGATGTGTCGCGATTTGTGCATTTTTCATGTGTTGAGAGAAAATGCTGCGGTAAGGGCACTATGACAAATACTTTGCACCGCAGTACTGCAGCGCTGAGTTTAGAGGTCAAGAGAGTGAGAGAAAGAACTACATTGTTCTAGTCAGTTTACTGATGTTGTATTCATTTGTGTGTGTGTGTACATGTGTGTATGAGAGAGAGAGAGAGAGAGAGAGAGAGAAATATAACTTACATTGATGTGTTATTGTAAACCTGTTGCCTTGTTATCAGTTTTTTGGTGTTGCTGTATTCCTTTGAATGCATGCCAAGTGTTTGTAAATTTGTATGTGTGTGTCTGTGAGAGAGAGAAAGAGAGAGAGACAGACACCTAACATTGATGTTTTATTGAAAGGGAGTGTATACAGACCCGGTAACCGGGAACGAAGTCACAAAGTATACAGACCCGGTAGGGGAACTCTTTTGTGATTTCGGAAAGTTTCAGCGCCCTCTTGGCTCAGGTTAGACCTAGATCCTTCTAGATCTATGGCCTAGGTCTAGATCTAGACAGACAGACATAAATCATTGATCTAGTTTCGAGGCTAGCCTAAATCTAAATGAAGATTGCGGATGTCTTTTCGATGAACGATCGTTTTTCCTCCGTTTCGGAGTTGGAGGAATCACAATTTGAAGAAAACAACAATGCATAATTTCAATCGAGCAGTGACCCTCTCTCTCTCCTCTGTGTATCGCTCGCCTTCTCTTTTTGTTTGTTTGTCTCTGTCTTTCTCTCTCCCCACTCTATCTTTCCTTTCTGCCAACGGGGGCATGTCATATTTCACACACACATTCTCACGCGCTCTCTCTCACACACACTACCAGGTCTGGGCGCTGAAACTTTCCGAAATCACAAAAGAGTTCCCGTACCGGGTCTGTATACACTTCGATATTGAAAACTAGTCACCTTTTGTTATCAGTTTTTAAAAAATTGTGTTGCTCTATTAATTTGAATGCGTACATATGTTTGAAAATTTTGTGTGAGAGACAGAGAGAGAGTGCGCAAGAGAGTGTGTGTGAGAGAGAAAAAGGGGGGAAAGAGGGAGAAGAGACCTTTCACCTCATTTCTTATTTTGTTTTTAGAACAATAAATGTTTTCATTATTTCCAAAATGAGTGGTCATTCTGAATGCATGAACAAATGAATTAATGAAAAACAAGTAAAATATAAAATAAGCAAGTAACACAAGTTTCTCTCTGCATTATCAGAGAACTAGGCTATAGCCATAGCCTGAAATGCCGAGCACATGCCGCGCAAAATGACACGGTGAGGGCATAATTGCAGCGCACCGTAACGAAAAATGACGCGGTACCGGCACCTTGCCGCACTGCGGGCTATCGAGAGGCATTGCGGTTCGACCTGGTCCCGGCCAACAAATCAAGTGAGATCACTGCAATAGCATCAAAAATGAGAAGAAATGGGCCAGTCATGTGACCACACACGCCATTTATGTTTTCGGAAGGACTTCCGTAACGAGCGACCACTATGAGACAGAGCAGAATTGAGGGATAGGGGTAGATCTAAGGGTTGGACATGCGATTAAACGTAGAAAGACGCAAACTATTTTTAGGTATGGCGCCCATCTTGTTGGACGTCAGACCAGGATTCCCCCTCTGATCACGTGACTACATCGAAGTATAGCCAACCGCATGGCTTCAAAGATGAAAGTGTACGAAAATTGCTGTAAAGACGCTGGAGGATTAGATCTAGATTCTAGATCTACCCCCCCCCCCCTCTCCTGCATTCTTCAAATATACATTAAAAAACAAACTTCAAAGCAGCTCTGCAAATTATGATTTATGAGTCTGTTGGTCAGTCGGGACGAGGAAAAGAGAAGAGAAAAAAAGTCAGGGACCGGAATCGAACCGCTCCTAAAATGATTGCATGACTTCAAACGCAGACGCGCTGTCTATTCTATTTGGCCATCAGAACTTCCGAGAGCGAGGTGTAAATTAAGCGTTATAAAAGACACTTCCCTCTTTGGTGCCATGCGGTAGGCTATGCTTAGATGTAGTCACGTGATCGGAAGGGAATCCTGGTGTGACGCCAAACAAGATGGGTGCCGTACCTAAAAATAGTTTGCGTCTTTCTACGTTTAATCGCATGTAAGGGTTAGTTGGGTTAGGCCTCTTCTTTATTGTGTTTGATGGGGAGGTCGCTTGTTACGAATGTCCTTCCATGTCTTCTTCACGCACAAGAGACACAGCCACTTGACCTAATTAAACTGCCGCGGTCTGGGACTCTAGGCCCAGACTAGGCCATTCACAACACAAACACGACACACGCCAACCAACATTCGACATTACAATATTATTGCAATAACTTCTAGAATCTAGAAATCTAGACTCTCTTAACTCTCTAGAATTGTAAAACTCTACAGGAGCACATTTGGTACCGCAGGAATACAAAAAAATGAGAATAACAACAAAAAATTTAACGTACATTTAGAGATCTACAAGATCTATCGATTCACGAGCTCCAAATTCTTATCAGCATCATGTCATGCCTTCCCTAAAACAGACAACAAAGTGAAAGCGCCCAACTTATCGATGTTTGGGTACTTTCAAAAACGAGGAGACGTTCAGACGACAAATGAATGCAAAAAATAATAAATATACACTTAACCACATACTACCAGAAAAAACGAATTAATGTTGATCGAAAAGGGGTAATTTTGACCATCAGCTGTAATATAATTTAGAAAACTAAATATTAAAATACCACATGTGTACCTGATGATCCGCCATGATTGCTGGCTCGGAAGAAAAAGGAAGAGTGCAAGAAGAGAGATTTGTGGGTAGGCTGGGATAGCCTTGAAGAACTACATTTCCGGTTGAATAAAAACGTTTTCGAATAATTATTTCCTCATGAAATCTTCATTGTGCCGATCAATGCTTGGTAGACATCATGTTCTCTGGTATCTTAAATTTTACACGAGTATGCATAATTCATCAATTTAACTACGTTCGCCAGATAACACAAATTACTTTGCGCCAAAGAGCAGCAAACTAAAAATAAAAAAGAATCCGCAAAAAACATCAAAGAACACGAAAAGATCGAATAATATTTCTTGCACGCCCAGGTACAGCTTGTAAAAAGGATATGTGGCTGTTAAATTGTCCATCCTTAGACAATAGCAGTAGCAATCTTTTTCCATGCCTGTTTTATTGTGTAAGCTAAATGCTTAGAGGCAGTAGGTGATTACAGGATCTAGCATCTTGAAAAAAAATTCATCGGCAGAATTTAGCACGATTCAATGCCATAATAACAATAATATTGAAAAATTGCTCGGCGAATTCGATGGCTGGTTTTTACCTTTAAAAAAATCAGGAACTTTACTCACCATCAACACAACAGTTCAGTCAACAGGCCGCCCGTTACAATTAAACCATGTCTCTTCCATTTCTCAGAGTGTGCAACAGAAGCCTTTCTTCTTCTATTCGAAGATCGACTCCTGTACGTTATAGTGTTTTCAGTATATGAGTATGAGTGTTTTAAACCAAGAATTTGTCATTGTCTCCATGTTTCTGTGCTGCGCTTCTCACTGGCTCTCTCTCTTTCGTCCTGGCAAGTTCAAAAAGTTCAATGACAAACCTTGTTCTTGAATGTCAATGTTTACACTTTTAGATTTAAAAATACCTGTATGTAATCTTGGTATAGATCTAGGTATTTTTTTACTTTCCCTCCCATCTCACACTCAGCTACCAGTTGTCTATTTTCTACTAAATATTGATGCGCTGAACACGAATATGAACTTCATTTCCGTCGCAAATTAATAGTTTTTTAAATATTTGATTGTTTTTAACCGAGATAGACATGCTTTGGACCAATCGGGGGGTTCCATGGGGGACCTGCCCCACTGGGGTAAAAAAATCTGGGGGGTTACAGGGGGGCATGCCCCCCTGTTTTTACACCCATAATTTGATATTTTACAGTTAAATTTGAAATTGTCTTGAAAATAATTGATTTGCGACAGTTTTAGTGGCTTTATCATATGTGTGATCTGCAGCAAACAGTACAGCAGTTTGACCCCTGAAACAGTGCATCTGTGTGCGGGAGTGAAAGTAAAAATTTACCTAGATCTAGATCTAGATCTAGATCTAGAATCTATATAGATATCTATGTCTGTTTATTCTTTTATTTAAAATTCTGGGTACAACTTAAGAATGTGGGCCCCATCTATTTAGACTAGACTTGAATTCATCCACACACACAGACTCACATGTCACTGTTGGTGATCTTGTAGTTCCGCTCGTTAAAGTCCACGATCCATTTGTTTACATACAGAGAAGAAATCCAGAAGTCTTGAAGACCAAATACTGTTTGAATTAGGCTACACACAAAGAGCAGGGATGCAACCTAACTCTGCAAAACATTAAAGGCCACCTCTATTCTCACCCGGGGTGAGAATAGTGTAGGCGAGTCTTTTGGCTATTCTCACCCGGTGCGCGTTCACCGTTATAGCCTAGATCTAGGCCAACAAATTTTGCGTTCACCCTAAACCACAGAATTCTACACTGTGATACCAGAAAAATTGTAGAATTCTGTGCCGTGAACGAATGTTCCATTACAACTGTAGCCTATTAAAAGCGTACAATTTTGTCTGTGGGCAATTTGAAGAAAAAAACAATGTCTCTCTCTCTCTCTCTCTCTCTCTCTCTCTCTCTCTCTCTCTCTCTCTCTCTCTCTCTCTCTCTCTCTCTCTCTCTCCCTCTCTCTCTCTCTCTTTCCCCCTCTCCCGTCTCTGTGTATCGCTCGCATTCTCTTTTTCTTTGTATGTCTCTGTGTATCGCTCGCATTCTCTTTTTCTTTGTATGTCTCTGTCTTTCTTTCTCCCCACCTATTTCCCACTCTATCTTTCTCCCGTTCCCTCCTGCCAACTGGGGCAAGTCATATATTTTGCTAGTACTTCCCCCTGCTCTCTCTCTCTCTCTCTCTCTCTCTCTCTCTCTCTCTCTCTCTCTCTCTCTCTCTCTCTCTCTCTCTCTCTCTCTCTCTCTCTCTCTCCCTCTCTCTCTCTCTCTCTCTCTTTCCCCCTCTCCCGTCTCTGTGTATCACTCGCATTCTCTTTTTCTTTGTATGTCTCTGTGTATCGCTCGCATTCTCTTTTTCTTTGTATGTCTCTGTCTTTCTTTCTCCCCACCTATTTCCCACTCTATCTTTCTCCCGTTCCCTCCTGCCAACTGGGGCAAGTCATATATTTTGCTAGTACTTCCCCCTGCTCTCTCTCTCTCTCTCTCTCTCTCACACACACACACACACACACACACACACACACACACACACACACTACCGGGTCTGGGTGCTGAAACTTTCCGAAATCACAAAAGAGTTCCCCTTCCGGGTCTGTATACTTCGTGACTTTGATCCCGGTTACCGGGTCTGTATACACTTCGTTTTATAAATTATTAGATCAAGCCCCCCCTGAAACCCCCCTACTGTTGACTTTAACGAACGAAACTACAAAATCGCCTCACTGTCAACTAGATTACTGGATAAGATATATATTGATACTAGATTCTAGATTTTAGATCTAGATTCTAGATCTAGATATATATCTAGGCTCTAGATTAGATCTACTGACTGATTTATGGATTTACTTCTAGGTCTAGAATCTAGATCTAATTCTACACGATGTCACCGTGTGTCTCGCCATTCTCACCCCCCTCAGGTGTGCTATAGCACAAACACACACAGAACAGCACTGGGTTTAAAAGTTGTACAGATCTAGATCTAGTCTAGTTAAGTTTCGGAAGGACTTCCGTAACGAGCGACCACTCCAACCTACGCAATAAAGAAGGGATTTTTGAGTGGGCTATGTAAAAGATAGGGTTTAGTAATTGGTTGGGCTTCTTTCGTATTTCCTGGTGTTCTCTTGCTTTCCATTGTCTCTCTACCTGAAGTGTATATATTATATATATATATCCCACCCGGAACCGGTCACCTAGATCTAGTACTAGGTTACATAAACACAGCCTCGCGGCCTTCCGAGCGACATGAAGCTAGAAAGCATCTAGCACACCTCTGTGATTGGCCCAAATATAGATGACGTAGTTCCGCCATCTACTTTTCTGTCCTCAGGGGAATTCGCACTTGCAACCCGCAGCTTGCATGCGTAACTTTTGCATTCAGTGCAACTTTTCCTAATTTTTCTTGTAGCTTTTTGCAACTTTTGCTATTTTCAAATGCAACTTTCTCCGGGGTTTCCCTTGCGAGTTGACTACACCTATTACCCTTTATTATTATTCGTCGGAATACCGGTGACAAAGTTACTAAAAATATCAATATGCAGCGTTGTGATGTTATCGAAGATCCTCTTATATCAAGATGTTTCAATTGCCTTATCTCACTTCTGAGCGAGATTTGGACGTGACCTTGTCTTAGCGCGTGACAGCCCGTGATACGAGTGTAAACAAACGTTCCAGCACCGAGTTGAAAGCGAGCGATTTTGTCTGTGGGTAGAGAGAGAAAGAGAGAGAGGGGGGAGTAAGAAAGAGAGAGAGAGAGAAATCCTCACAGGCCAGAACGCGGAACATGCGCAGAAATCCCCTCGGGCCAGAAGCGCCAGGTTAATCAACCGAATTCGTTCGTGTAGCAAAATGCCAGCCACCCCAGATCTTGTGTCTAGCACTCAGTATAAATCACAATTGTTTTAGCGCTGCATTATATATCGTCGCTCTCATGCCAGTCTCATGCTCCGATAATGTAAAATTTATCTCTTTTCCTGTTCATTTTTATCTGCTGTACACATATTATTAACTGTATCCCGTGCAATTTATTAGTTTATGAAATGTTTGAATATTTTTATTTGAACTATGTATATATAATATAGACCAAGGAACTTATCCTATCAAGGAGTGTTTGCCTACGTTTTCATCCGGGTAAGTCGAAAGTAGTGAAGCTGGGAAAAGTTTCAAGTCCTGTGGTTACAGTGGAAGACACTTCCCTACAAGAAGTGGACTCCTTTACCTATCTTGGAAGTGTCATTGATGGTAAAGGTGGAACTGAGCCAGATGTAAAAGCAAGAACCGCCAAGGCAAGGTCAGCATTCGAGCAATTATCAAAAGTCTGGAAAGCAAGCAACATCTCACTGCACACCAAGATTCGACTCTTTATTTTGAATGTCAAGTCTGTGCTCCTCTACAGCTGTGAAACTTGGAAGACAACAAAGACAGTGCTGAATAAAGTCCAGACTTTCATAAACAGATAGGTATGAGGAGTATCCTAAGAATTAAATGGCAGGATAGAATAAGAAATGAAGAGCTGTCGGAAAGGACAGGAAAAAGGATATAGAAGTAGAAATAGGACTAAGAAGGTGGCATTGGATGGGATACACCTTCAGAAAGCCCAGCGGAAACATCACAAGACAGTCACGGCAATGGAACCCACAGGGAGCACGAAGCAGGGGTAGGCCACAGGAAACATGGAGGAGATGTGTGGGAAGGAACATGAGAGAGATGAAGCTCACTTGGAACGAGCTAAGAAGGATGGCCCAGGACAGAGATAAATGGAAGGAGCTTGTATGTTGCCTTTCCCTGCCAGGGGTGAAAGGCACTGATGATGATGACATATATTATAAATTTTCAATTTACAGGGACTCTCAAGCTTGAAAGGCCACTGAACTTTGGCTGTCATTTTCTCTTTAGTTTTACCTCTAACAGCAGATAACCCCTACTTTCTTCAGTCGCAAATATCTTGACCCCTATTCAAGATAGAGATGCATATTTTTTTCACCAAAAACAAGATAAATAAACAAAATTTAGGAGGATAGCAATAACTTTACATTTACAGGACCCAACACTGACGAGCGCCTGATTAAAGCGTGTAGTGACACAATTCTTCACTTGCAGATAGGACAATGTAATTCTGAAAAGGTCTTCCAGTATTCAGATAGGACAATGTAATTCTGAGAATATCTTGATAACGACTCCAAATTATCTTACAATTTTTATAGAATGGACAATATTTGGTTTCTGATGTCATGTTCCTAACAATTCTAAATGACAAAAAATGTCAGATAGAACTTTGTAATTCTGAGGTAGCGATTTCCCTGTGATATTTTAATCTTAATTGGTAGAGGTACAGTGTGTCTCATATTTCTCTGTCTCTGTTTTAGGGTGCACCGGCTGTGGATTCAGTATTTAAATCAAGTTCTTACAGTTACAGCTCATCAGCTCCCAAAGATACTTCAAAGAGCAAACCTGCTGCCCCTAAAGGTACGTAGTATAGTACTTTGTTTGCCTGTGGTAATTTTTTCTGTGTAGATTTCAGTGAGTTGTTGCTTTAAATTAGTACGGTAATGGGACTGGACTACCAATCTTTCCAATTCATCATATTAACTATACTGCCTTATGATTACTTCACCCAAACACAAAATTATAAAATCTGAAATAATTTTTCCAGAAAAGCGCTTTGGAGTAAAAAAAATAAACGAAGAAAACAACAGCTTTTTTTTTAGTCATGGTTATTCTGTTTTGAAATTTTCATGAATTCTTTGCTCTGTTTGTCAGAAATATGATTAGTAAAATTTTAAAAAAGTTGGTTCATAACATTGTATGAGCAGCCAGGGGATTGTTGTGTCAGTTTGATAGGTCTCAACAAAGCGATGGACAGATTGAGACCTGAATGTCAAAGCAAAGTCATTATTATTCTCTACTGGGATAATGCAGCTCCTCATACCTTAAATCTGACTAAAGACATGATCCATAGGCATGGGAAAGATATTCATTAAACAGGAAAAAGACTCACAGAAAATGATGCACTCTTCACAGATATAATCTGAGATTGGCTGCATTCTCTTGACTGCATTTTCATTGATTTTCAAGGAGGAGATGCATGACCTGTATGCTCTGATAAGTTGATAGTAAAAATGCGTTGTTGGCTCTTATATATGGGAGGAAAAATGAAGTATAGGTTTAACACCCATTGCAACACTGAAGTTATATAAGAGACAGGGCCTCTGAATTAACATCTATCTCCAATAGGACTGAGCCAAAATGGGAAAATTTATGTAAACGTTGCCTTTCCCAAAAACAAAATGTCAGATTGAGCTGAGCCTCTAACCAGCCAATCCACAGTCACACTATTACAAGTCTGGTGGTAGCTATTAAATGCTAGACTACAGATGTCTGTTTTATGGATGCGTTGTAAAGAAGTTGAATGATATAACTATATATCGTGTCAAAAGTTTTTTTTTCTAATCCGTATAAAATTGTAGTTCACCATAATGCATACCGAACTGTTGTCATTCTGAAGTTTTCGTGTACAGTAGTCTCCACCTAAGACCCCGGTGCTTGGGAGCAAGGAAGATGCAGGGTCTTAAGCGAACGGTATCTTAGCCTATTCATCAGGGTGAGAATTTAGGGTGAATGGGGGTCAAACCCACTATATGTAAAATGATCTCCCCTTACTTTGAAATGAAGTGACGTGACTCTTGGGTGGGTTTATGATTTATGGCAAGCAATTATTAAATTCAGTCTGTCTAGCAAATTCGGGAGCGGAGATGGTCAGAGAAACTACCCTACCTGCCTAACATTTGATGTAAGTTCAGGCAGGAGTGCTTAATTACATTTACGAAGTTTGGGGAAAACATACACATCGATGAGTTCACACTTCGTCACGATCCAGTGTGAGGCAAACATTGTACCCCCTCATCAAGATTTACAATGGAGATGTGCTCACATTCACAAGTGGATGATCTGTGAAAAAATGGGTAATACAATGATTGCAATTTTTTGCTGCTTGGTTGACCACTTCAGCTGTGTTTGCCTCGGTTTTTGCTCCAGAACTTATGATCTGAAATGGGAAATCTTATCCGAATGAAGTCCAGCAGACAGAGCAGGATTCTTAGGGGTGACTTTTTTGCAGTAAAATTGTTGTTTTCATGAAATAATAGAATCTTAGGCAAACCAGGATCGGAAGCAGTGGGATTTTAGGTGGAGGCTACTGTATTTTTAAAAAGTTGTAATCTCTCTCTTTATCATTTCTATTGTCATATGAATTCCTTAAGGCCTCTACCAAAGTGCTTTGTTTACTTCTCATTCTTTACTCTTTTAATACCTTTCTGTTGAATTTAATGTGCAAGACAATGAAAAAGTGTTTCAAAAGAGAAGTATAGGTTCTCATGGGCTGGAAGGGAGTCTTCAACATCCAACATAGCTAAGTAAAAGCCTGTGGTGTTAGGGGAAATGATATGATTTCACCATATTTTCTTTCAAAATGCTTCAGAACAAACAAACCAAGCAAGTAAAAGCAATAAACTTATACATTTTCAGAAAGAAGAATGTTAATGTAACTAGGAAATATAACTAATTTTTGAATGAGTTGAAATGTTTGATGGTACAAAAAATGGAATAAACGAACCAAAATAGCAACTCAAATTAGAACCAATTAAATCAGCCGTAACACCTCAGAATTAAGCTTACGGTCGACTTAATTTGCCGTTAACACTTAAGGGATGAAGGATTTTAATGCAAATTATGAAAGTTAACCTGATTTGATTTGTTGTGATGGATAATTTGAAAAAAATCATTCTGCTTTATTTTTGTTGTGTGTAGATCTGAAGATCTGTACTTTTGTGTTGTTTTTCTTTTTCAGCATCTGCAAAACCGAAAAAAGCCGCTGAATCCACAGTACCTGAGAAGGGAGACACCTACTCTTCTGGGAAGCAATTCTTTGCCCACAACACTTACAGTTTCTATGATATCGAATCAAGCATGGCGAAAGATCGCATCCCTCAACCCTCCAGTAACAAGGCATCATAACATTTGAGAAATTTATTTTGTGTTATACTGTTGCCATTAATCAGTTGTATGTAAATTTATTGAGGTTGAAGTGAAATTAGTCTTGGCCTGTTAAAAGCATCCGTTTTATCAACTGTCAGTAAGAGTAAGAGTACAATGGAAACATCTCAGAATCATTGTTGTGCCCTACCCTGAAATAAATAAAAGTTAATGCATCACATTACCAATAGTAAGGGCCCTCTCCGTGCACTAAATTGTTTTACATACTCTTAATTACTGCCTTTGTTTTGAAAATTGTAGTATCCCTGAAGTTCTATCAAGTTGTCATAAGCTCTCTCTCTACTGTCTTTCGCGTGTTCATTTCTTGTGAACTTGATTTGAGTTTTCCCATATTGCAGTTTTGGGTTTGCATGTTCTTTTATTGAGTTTTTTTGCTTCTCTGAACAGTTTTTGTCTCAGACAATAATTAAATGTTATGGTAAAGTCGATTACATAATCTGACATGAGAAAGTTTGCTGTCAAACAAGATCTTTTGCATGTTAATACACTGTAATAATGAAGATGCTGTTTAAAGCAATCCCAAGAACAAGTGAATTGATAAAATAGAACAATATATTAGTAACCTTGAGTAGAGTATGACTGAGTTTGAGAATATGTTTAAAATTTATTCTGTATGATGAGAAGAGCAAACTGCCAAGGGTATTTTTACATGTCAATATTTTACCCAGAATAAAGCAGTATCATTATCTATAGCTAAGAGTATCGGTGCTGAGAAATTGACGTCCCAAAAGAGCTAAGACGTGTACTTAAAAGACGGTTTTTAGCCAACTCTATAAGAGGCTGATGATTATAGCAAGTGGTCTGGCTTATCAAATTTTACCCGTTTTGAGTACCGGTATTAAAAGTTATCTTTTTATCACCGAGGGGGGTAAACACACTACGCCGGGGCCTTTTTCGGTACTTAATCTAAAATTAATAAAAACGTAATTAAATGGGTCATTAAATCAAAACAAGCAAACCTATTTTGATAATTCTTCATCTAATGAATGAACTCCTGCTAAAAGAGTCCTGTTTTCGGCAATTGCTAAAAAATAATTTGATGTCGAAGTCAACATGAAGGAATGTGCCCAAGACGGTTCCAACTGCGAGCCGCTGGGAGTGGCTTGCCGGAGATAAAGAGTTAATGCACATAAACTTTCAACAGAGATCTATACACTTCTGATTCTGAATTGGCTTTTCAGCATATTATTGTACATTTGTGTTTTGACACAAAGATCATCTAGTTTTCAAGTAGTTTTGCCTGTGATTCAATTTGTTTTGTGAGGGCAAGTCTTAGTGTTCTGTTTCATTGCCCTTTGCTGTAACAGTCCAAAGGGACACCATGTTTTGTTTGAGGTAAATGTGACTCTGCTTCTGTTTATGTGTGTAAGAGTCTTAAATAACGGCTTGGAAGACGATGGAGCGTATGTGATCTGTTGTGCAGGAGTTTAGGTCCTGCCCTCACCTTCATATTTCTCAATGTGATATGATTGTCACAAAAATATGCGCTCTCCTTTTCAGTTTGAAATAAAACAATAAAATGTAAACTAACAAAAGTATTTTTAACTTTCATCTTTGTTTATATGTACGTGTGTTATTTGTTGTTTTTTTATCTGGTACTCTTGAACTGGCAGAACTGGCCATTTTCAAGACTTATTAACTTTATAGTAAAGAGTGAACACCTTGACCAAAAAAACCCGCGATCTCTGAGTCTTAACTTTAACAGGTTGATGGTACATGATGTAATGTGAGCAGACAGCCTTGTCTTGAATAGATAAGGGTTAAATTTTTACATGGTTGATCCTGATCAAGCACTTTGTTCATCGTTACTCTTCAGCTCACACATTGTTGTGGGTGTATAAAGAGAAAGAGGCGTGTGTTCTTGTTCATCATAAAGTGCTGTTGGTGCTGTGGTTCTGTGGAAGAAACTGAATACTTATGTCCCTGAGCTCTCATACAAATGAGTTACAACATTCTCCTCTGGACGGCCACATGGGTGACACACTATTTTTTATCCTGCAAATTCTGTGTTTATTGAAATATATAGTGAATCCTCAGAAGGAACAAGATGACGTGATTGTTTCTGTGTAGTTTATTAACAATATCATTTAACTTGGTGCTGATTTGTTAAGTAGGTAAAGCTTTTTCTGAAAAGTTCCAAATTCCCATTTTCTCGACCTTGTGAGTTCTTCAATCTAATAATCTTTTTACAGTGTTGACGACATTAATGTCCTTAATCCTGTTTTCATAGCTAGACGGAATAGCATTGTTATGAGGTTGGATGTTGAACTTCTTTAGTAGAGTTAAAGTAGAAAGCCTGGGACAGGGGCTCAGAACATTCCTCGAGTACACAATATAATGGGTTCATCCTATAATATTCAGCTCTAAATGATTTCAGATGTCATGGTTCTGTTTGGATAAACTCAACCCTGGTAATCCTGGTAAGCAAGAGGCTGTTCTGGTTATTGATTTCCTTATTGTTTGAGTTGACTTCTTTTCACTTTTTTTTTGTGTTCATAAAGTGTGACTGACTCAACTGACTGGCAAGCCGCCACATCTGTGGGAACATCTCTTTTTCTCTTTCATTGTCACACTATAGTGAGTCCTTGAAATGAAACAATACTCCCTGTACAGCATTATTAGCAGATTGATAAGTACCGTTAATGATTTTATTTCCTACTGATCTTCTTCAAAGTTTGAATGGCCCATTAAACACAGAAGTTTAATCCAAGTTTTTGCTGTAGTGTACTCAATCATCTGTGGTCCCCAAGGCTCTTAATTCTGAATGGAGGATTTTTACACAAAGGCTTTTTATGCTGTTAATTAAACATGTTGGTTAAGGGACACTGTTACAAAAATTGAACCCAAGCTGTCTGCCAGCATCATTGTGGTGTGTGTGACTGATTAGGTCATGAAATAACACTTCTGCCTCACTGGGTGGGCCGAATTGACCCTCGGGACCACATTACCGTTCTTACCTCTGTCGTTTCTGCATTGACTGATGGGTGCACCAAACATATTTAATGATCATAATGCCGTTTTTATGTAAAAAAAGTGAGGGGAAATTGATCATTGAATCAACAATTTTTTGGATCCACATAAAAATAGAAGTAAAACTTACACATTTCAAAGTAACACCATTCAGCTATCTTTCAACTTGACTGTTAACACAGTCCTGGTGAAGATTGATGCATTTCTTCCAAAAGCTCATCAGAAAATATTCCCCACTTTGAAAAATTCTGGTTAAGAAAATGCCACCAGTCTCTAACCACTGAGGAGATTAGATCATCATCCTATCGTGAACCTAACTTTGAGGAGCAGAACCCCTGTGGCATGGAAAAACACAGTGGCTGTCAACTTATTCGCTGATTTTGACACTAACTTTGAACTTTTTACCTGTCAGTGACAATGGACGCAAGCAACATGTGTTTGAGAGCTTAGCGTAGATTGTGTCTCAGCCTATGCTCCTTACATCATAAATAAAAAATGATAGTAACAGGTCCAGCTTTCCATCATGTATTATATATTTCATGATCTTTGCTGATGGCACTGAAGAAACATGATTTATGTTGAGCGGTTGGAAAAGAGGACAGAATTGATTTTAAAATCCTAAGAAAAAAAAATCCCCAAAACAGTGCTAAAAGTATGCAGGTTCTATGTATCTTACCCCTCTCCCTCCGAGACCGAACATTGACAACACACTCTATGGAACATTACAGCAACTGCAGCAAACCTTCACTTTTCACTACATGGAGGAATTGGACAGGAGGGCGAGAGCCCAGCTGTTGCTGGATCGATAACAACAGCAACAACTACATGTATCTTACAACCTTTGCCCATAGATGAATTGTGAATCTATTTTGTCATAGCAAGTGTTTTCAACTCAAAACTTTCTTATTTTTTAAGTACGACTTGATCAACTTGATGCAGAATAAAATGTAATAATGAAGACACCAATGCGGATGGCTGAAGATAGCAACAGGTAGGATCTTCTAATCTACTATTCCCTCTGCTGCATAACAATTTTTTTTCCCAGCGCTAATTGTCTGTTATGTCAATTTATATTATATAATTATCTTTACTTCAAACAAACACCTTGAATCACTTTCAGAGCGTCCAAGGCATTTTCTCCCTGAGGAATATGGCAAACTCGAGGAATGTAAGCTGTGGTTTTTATATGAGGAGTTCCCCGGAAAGAAGGCCGTAGTCACGAACTGGAAATTGTGAGGGTGTCAATTTTAAAAGCTTGTGGATTCATAACTTCCTATTTTTGTTTGATTGATGGTTTACTATTATGTTTGTTGAATGGAAAATCTAACAATAACAATCAACCAACAGTTGAACAGAAATACAGTTATGAGTCAACAAGCGTTTTAAAATAGATAACCTCACGATTTTCAGTGTGTGACATTTCCCATTTTCCCATGGACTCCTCATACTGGTCAATTAAAACTGCATCAGTGATTTTTGTCTTACCCAGTTGGCATCAGAAACTAAATGTTACACAGTACAGTAGTCTCCGCCTAAACGCACGCCATACAAAAGCACGCTCCGC